AAAAAAAAAAAAAAAAGACCCAGCTCTGACCTAAAGCAAGGGAAAATTATGTGTGCATGTGCATTCCATGAAAATATCCACAAGAAAAGCTTCAGGAGCCTGAAACCAAAACATCAGTAAACCAAGCCACACTTAGAAAAATGAAAGCTGATTTTTATTTTATCCACAGCCATTCTTTAAACATGAACATGCATACGTAATACTCTACGCACACATCACAGTTTTTAACGTTAGTTAATAAAGGTTAAACACACAACATACATCCTTACAAAAAAGTCAAAATGCAAACTTAAAACTTTAAACAAAAGTCTTACTAATTTAAAAAAAGTTTGTGTTGGGTACCATTTGTACAACACAGTTAATTTAAACCTTTTCATTTTGGCTGCACATGAAAAAAGCGGCAGTAGAAAATAAAGTCATTGAGGGTTTTTAAATAGCAGAAGAGGCAGTTTCGCCATGCAGGAGAAGCAATATTAAATATTAGTTTTCAAAAAAAATCCACATTTAAAAATATTTAGTTCAAGTCACAGAATTTTTCTCAGTAGAGATCCCAATGCAATGCATAATTAGCTGCCTTAGATGGCCTGTTTGAAAGGACAATATCCTTTCAGAGTTGAACTTTACTGATTTTGGCACAGAAAAGAAGTCTTAAGAACAAGAACATGATTAAAAAAGAGGGGAGAGGAACAGAGGACAGAAATAAAAAGCAAGAGTAAATGAGATAGTAATTTGCAATCACTAAAAACGGTGTCCTCAGTCACTGCAGAACATGGCTCCTGCCTCCAGCAGGCGCTCATCCCGGAAGTGCTATTGCAGCATGGACTTAATTTGCTTGGAGGTAGTCTCATCATTCAAATGTTTTGTTGTGTACCTAAAAGTGAAAAACACCAATTTGGGGGAATTAAAAAAAAAACTGAAACCATTATCTGATCAGATTCTATATTGTGATAAGCTGAGATCTCTCACAAAATTATGCCTTTTCATTCCAGTTTAAACCCTGCTGGGTTCTGCTAGCTGATCCTCCCTACCACCTTTTAAACGGAATAGCCAATAGCTGTTTAACTTAAAACTACCTTGCTGAAACAATGTGATTAAATTCTAAACTAAACAATTGGCCCTTAACTTCTCACTCAGCGAAAAGTATTGTTGTTCTATCTCAGGGAGGGACAAATTGTCGTGTTTGGGCCAAATCCAACCCACCACACACTTTTTTATGGCCTGTGAGCTAAGCATATTGCTACATTTTTAAATGGTTGCAGGAAAAAGCAAAAGAATAATACTTCTTGTTAATGTGGAAATTGTATGAAATTTGAATTTCAGGTTTCCCGGGACACAGCCATACTGATTCATTTACATAGGCTCTATGGTTACTTCTCGCTACTATGGGACTGCGACAGTGTGAGTGGCTGTGACAGACACTATGCGGCCCACAAAAGCCTAAAATGTTGCTCACTCTCGGGCCCTTTATAAACAAGTTTGCTGCCCGCTGTTCTATTTACTGTCTTTGGGACAGTCTGTCACATCCCCAAAATGTTTCAATTCTCTAGGAGCATTATTTCCAGGTAGATGTGCTTGGCTATAAGCATGTAAATACAAATTAAGAATTTTATGAGGAGATGCACCATAGGATTCCTTTAATGGCAGAAATTCAACAAGCAAGTCTGCTATGTGTCAGGCCCAGTTCCAGGGGCTTACAAGGTAGCAGGGGGAGAAAGACAATCATATACTCTTACACAGCAAAGGAGGGGGCGAGATTGGGCCTTAGACGGGGAAAGGCCAGAGCACATGGGGCACGCTGCAGACCATCATGGTGAGGAGTTCGGAGATTATTCTACGGGAAACAAAAGCCAGTGGAGGGTATGAAGCAGGGGGCTGGTGTGTGATTTCCTTTATGGTTTGAAAGGATTCCTGGCTGCTGAGGGAGAGCTGTAGGGAGCAGGAGCAGTGGGGACCGACCAGGGGGCTGAACGGGCACCAGGTGCCCAGGGCTTGGACATGTTAGGACTAATGGAAACAGGTGCTTGAATGTGGGATCTGTGTTGGAGAGAATTCAGACAGAACTTAATGTGGGATCAGTTAATCTGTCTTACAAGAATTTCACATACACAGTCGTCTTTAAGGAATGTATGCTTACTAAGTAGCTAATATACTCTCTACAATTTTACTTAGAAGTCACTTCCAAATTGTTCTATTACCACACTCTTATCAAGAAAAGGCCACTAACATCCAGTGTATGTGAAAATAATGTATGAACAGGTATGTTATGATTTCACTTTGTACACAAAACAAAGTCCTTTTCCAAGCGTATATGACTTGTCTACTGAAGCAAAGCAACTCTCGTCTACCTTTCCTCTTAAATTTAATGAAGGTAATTACCTAGCACTGCACCTCAACTCCCAGCCCTAGCTTTCTTTCTCTTATGATCAAAGGCATTTGGTTCCATTTCGCCACCTGTAAAATGCAGGCATGCATTGTTGCTTTCTCTTAATCACATACTCTAAGTTGCAGGTACTATATAATTACTACAGCAAAGCATCCAAAATAAGCGACATATCTATGCATGCAATTATATCCCCTTTTAAAATTTTTTGGTTAACTGTTGGCTCTGAGGAAAACGATCTGAGGAAAAAGGAGTGAACATCTCCAGTACACTGGCTATTTCCTTAAAAAGAAAATAATTGCGCACAAGTGTGTTCCGTTTTGGAGAGGTGACAATAACCATGAACAGTTCATACACTTCGGGCATTACAAACTGAGTGAAGCCTATCAGGGGCTACGCTGATTCAGTTTGAAGAGTGTTCCTCAAAGTACAAGCGTTGTCTCCTCCACATCAGCTACGGTGTTTATGTATAAAATGAGGTGCCTGATCCCCACCCCAGACCTAATGAAGAGGCTGTGGAGGTGGTAACCTGGGAATCTGCGTGTTTCGTACCATCCAGAAGAAGCCACAGCGCTCTGACGTTGAATCACAGAGCAGACCTAAGGCTCAGGGACCCAGCATCAAGCATACGGGATTTTAAGAGTGAAATCCCGAATTTGCAAGTAGATTCTGACATTTCTGAGCTCTATGATCTTCTGGTCTCTCAAGAGCTGAAGGTGAGTCTTTGTACAGTGGAGATGCTGCCAACATCCCATACCCACCAACTACCTCACAGAGCCATGGTCCAGATTCAATGAAGTCATATATATGAAACTGCACTGTAAATTTACAGTGATACAAAAATGTTACGTATTGATCACAAAAGTTCCCAGGTGAAAAAATAAGAGCCAGGCACAGAGTATGCTCATTATGAATAAAACCAATTCAGGAGTTATCTCTGCAACAAACTCCTATTTTCTAATTTCCATCATGTATTTGAAAAGAAAACTTAACGTTGGCAGGCGGCTCTGCCTCAGTGGTGCCTCCCTCCCCTTCGCCCTCAACACAGGCTGCAGTGGGGCGACTTCAGTCCCCTCTTTCCCTCACGGCCACCGCCTTTCTTTGCACTAATTCTGATGTGAAAGAGACCAACCACCTTTAATCTCTGAAAGAGAAAAGGAAACTCTGGGTTTCTTAATTACTGCTTGAGGCACAGTCCCTTCGAGGTAAATACTAAAACCTCCTAGATGTTAGTCACCTCTTACTTTTTCAAAAAGGATTTCTTTCTGTCACTTGCTAGCTTTGCAGTGTCATTGTCAGAAAGAAAGGGACCTGGGAGAAACCCAGACTGGTAGGGACTTGGGGAGTCTTCTCAGAGGCATCAAGTAGGAAAGGTTCACAATTCCACAAATACTGGTAAAACCAACGAAAAACCTCCAGAGAAAAAGTTTCAAAAGCTTCAGGTTTTTGGCAGGCTTGTGGTTGACGGGCTTTGACACTGTAAGGATTTCTCTTGTTCGATCACGTTCCCTAATCACTGTGACGGTCATTTAGAACAGACCTGCCTCACTGCTTACAGAATTCCTCCCGTACTCGTCATGAAATTATTTGATGGTTCCGCTCAGCTAAAATGAGACAGTCTGCATTTTGCTTTAGGACGTACCAGGGTGACTAAGCATTCCAGAGAAATAACGATGTTAAGCTTACAAAACATATGGGGAATATAATGCTGAACTGGAAATCACTTTATTCCATTATATGAACTACAATGCACTGCAGTGAAAACGGCAAAGATGGCCTGTGGCCTCAGAAAAGTCTCTAAATATATAAATAGTTTTATATCCATAGAACTTTTGTGCTTAGACACAAAAAAATCAAGTAACAAGAAAATCATCTTTTATGTTAGAGAAATTACACTACCAATGAAATCTCTGTAGTCAAGATGTTATCAGGTGCTGAGATTTTCATTTAAAAATAGTCCAGTATTTTTAGGAGCTTCATTAACTCAATCAAGAAGGTCCAAGATGAGAAAAGGCATCAAATAATGACTGCCTTATTTCTATGATAAGAAATACACAAAAATAATAGACATCTGTATTTGAGAAATGTATTATAATCACACTATATTAAAAGAAAAGAGCCAGTTATAAAACAGTTTGCATGGCATTGTTTTGTAAAAAGATAACTATTATATAGAGCTATGACTATATACAAGTGTAAAGAAAAAACTCTGGAAGGATATTTTACCAATATGTTAATAGTGGCTTATTTCAAAATAGTGATATTTCACAATTTCTTTAAATTTTTCTGTTTTCCAAATTTTATTTACAATTAGCATATACTATTTTCATTAAAAAATAAAAAATAAGCGACCCTGGCTTTAAGATGGGCATAAAGTGAAAGCCAAATTAGCAAAGAAGTGAAGTTGCTATTCTCACTTGCACATGCGCTTTATTATACAAACACTGTAACCAATACTTGAAAGCAAAATGGGACCTTCACATTTCTGACTTGAACTTGTACACTCAAATCCTTTCTGCTATTGCATGGTGAAGCACCCTCTTACACGTTATCTTTTCAAACCGCACGCATGTGGACATATACACACCTGAGAGCATTGAGAAGACCTTCTACACTATTAGGAGGCTGGTCCTTAAGAACTTTGATACAACCTTTCATCTAAAGATAAAAGGAAACAGAAAAGGTGAAACATCTGCTTTTGCATCTAACATTCACTTTCGAAACAGTCATATTTAAACTAGCACAACTATAGAACTCATGAGAAGTTACACACCCGAAACATAATTATTCTTAGAACAGGAAAAAAAATCTACCCGAGTGTTATTATTTTCAGTTTGTCAGTCAAGCAAAACTTTTCAAGAATCAAATCAGTCACATGAAAGCACTCCCACGCTAGTGAGGAAACTCAGGGCCAGCTAAAGGAAGACTTCCTGGAAAGAGTGCTGAGCAGGATGGAACAGACATGCTGTCAAGGAAAAGAGGAGCTTTCCAGGTAGACAAATGCCATGACAAAAGTAATAAAGTGTATCACACGTAGAGGACAGAAGTTTGCGGAGCTGAGATGACTCGCACAGGGGCGTTTACAGGAGGCCGTGAAAGCCGGAGGGTTCACTGACTGATGGGGTGGCCGCACTGGCTCGTTCTGAATGACTCAATGAAGACGACACAGACGCGAGACGAGCCTGATGACTGTGAAAAGCCACAGCACAGTAGAAATCCACAGGCTCTGGAAGCCATGGAGGAAAGCATTCAAAACCGCGCTCTGCCACTCATTAGCAGTTGTATTACTTCATCTCCCTAAACTTTCGTTTCTCTATTCATACAGGAGCGATAACGCCGACATATTAGGAGTATTTTCAGAGTTAAATGAGAAACAAATGTGAAATTCCTGGGACACAATAATCACTCCGTAAATATTAACTCATCTCTATGTACAGTGGCTGAATATGAACCAAGGCAGGGACTGGCTAGCAATCAGTAATCTAGATAGGAAATATTAAGAGCCTGAACTAGCGGTGAGAGAGAAACTGGAGGAAAATTCACACCAACACGGTTAGAATTATGAGAGCCAGATGTGACAGGGTGAAGAAAGACCTGACGGCATAGAAACCCAGGCTAGAGTCACAAATTATGATGATTGGGGGGAGGAGGGAAAATAGGTAGTCTTCGGGCTGGCAGAGTGGTGCATTGGTTAAGGGTTGGCTTGGGACACCAGCTCTGAGCAGCAGGGCCCTAGTTCGGATCCCACATGAAGACCAGTGATGCTGCGCTCTACAGCTAACATGATGAACAGCTTGACCTGGAGCTGGGCTGCTGTGAGTCGCTGGTGACGGCGTAGGCTGCAGTGGGCTGTCGTAAGCTACTGTGAGTGGACAGCAGCCAGCAAGAGCGGCCGGCAGCTGGCATGAGCCGCCATCCAATGGCCAGTGAGCGACTGCCTCTCCCAGGAAGAGTGCAATGATAATACCAACTTGGACCAGTGAAGCGACGTCCTCCACAACTAGACTGAAGAACAAAACGACAGCAACTTGTCTGTTCCCCTTCCCCAATTCCCCAATAAAATCTTTAAAAAAACAAAATAGGTAGTCTTCAACTTTTTTCACTGGAGCACCTCTACTGACTTCTAATGTGCATCTGGAAATAAGTCTTTTGCTTGAAATTGCCTTTGGCCAAAGGGATAAAAGGATACGATACAAAATTTCTTACATCTGATGATTTCCATTGCCAAATGTGAACAAGCACCATTTATGGGTATGAGGTTACCCTATTAGGGATACTCTGGAAAGACAGTAAATAACCCTCAGTCATTCTACTCCGCCTGTACACAGGCTGTGAGAAATACTGCAAGCGAGTGGAGGAGGCCCAAATCCACCATCAGACTACAAAACTGAGTTCTGGGCCGAGTGCAGACTGCCGGCTCTTTAAATGAAAGCCTATGCTTTCCATTACAGACATTATTGGGAATCACACAAAACAAGGTAACTTACATCGATTTTTGAAGTTTTGGCAAATGCTCCCACTGGATGTACGTGGTCATAGAGTATTATGACGCCCACCATTACCCTCAAGCAGAATGACACTGTCTCTTCGTTTGTAAATCTGCTTCTGTATTCCCTGGAGGGTAGAAAGACATGGATGGATGAGGCACATCACAAACTAAAGAGCTGGCTCGACTCTCAGCTAAATGGAAAGATGCCCCCTGTTCATCTCTAAAAGGGGTACTAACATCGTGCCACCCCTCTTCTCTGCAACGCGATGCCCTGGCCAATGAGGCGGGTGGAGCAGTTAGCACATATATTCTGGTCTGTATGTGCCTTAGCACATTACCCCTCCTGCACAGCAGAGACCAATTTCACAGAAATCACCAATATGAGGAAAAAACTCGCTAGCTTAATAGAATAAGTATGCTGGCTATTTAGGGGCTAATTTCATCTCAACACATTACTGTATTACCAGGTTTAAATTTTTCTAAAATTCAATCATATTCTTCTCATTTGGGGAAAAGGAAAGAGAACTTGTGTCTGTACAGAAGGCAGAATGTGGCACAGCAGGAAGAATCCAGAACCAGGATGAAGACATCCATCCAGGCACATGAGCGGGGTCGGCCTCAGTGCATAAGTCCTGTCATTTCCCAGGACCTCACTCTCCTCAATGAGAAGGGGGGTGATGATGACGAATAGCTGCCCTCTTGCTCCCTAAGGTTTTGCAATAAGATGGCATATATAACAGTGCTTTGGAAACTAAAAAGTTCCACGAAAATTATCTCCTGAAACCACATGTCACTCAGGCACTCAGGAGGGGTTCTCTCTGCCTGTGATGGGAAAAGCCAGCCGGAAGACACTGTGGCACGCATCATAAATGGCTGACGAGAGGACAAACCCAAAGAGAAAGGGAAGGCTGGCAGGTGAACTGAGAGAAGGGACAGGGGGAAGAAGAACGCGAGCACTCTAGCGCAAGGCAAGGGTCCTTACTGAGAAAGGAGAGAGAAGCAAAACCCGAAGAACTTTAGAGCTCTTCTCCTATCCCTCCCCAAAGCAGCACCACAAAACCCCCATTCTAAAGACTCTAAGTTAGTCTGACTGGTCTGAGGCATCTGAAAAGCAACTGCACTTTACACTTAACCAGAAGTTACATTAAGCTGCCCAATTATTTTAATTTTGTTCGTATATTAAGATTGGATACTTGGGATATACTTAATTCCCACCTTCCGAATACGACCTAGTCATATCTGGATAAGCACTTCAAGAGAACAGTTAAAGAGAAAAAGACAAGCTGATACTCACGGTGTCTCCAGCATGACTCTGCACACACTAGCCATGGTGCTTAGACAATCTGTGGTATTTTCTATTGGTAAATTTTTATTCTGTAAAGGGTATGGAGAACACAAAAAGGAAAAGTGACCGTTATTACTTAAGTATAATTTAAAACCTAGCATAACATGAAAAATTATCAACTTTAAAACCTGGTTCCTACTTTTAACTTTGTGAAAAGTGCACTAGATGGCAGATCCTGTTCTGAGCTCGGGGCTACAGCTACGAGTGGACAGCCAGGACCCTGCCTCCCGAGGCACTGACGCTCTGGCAGGCGGGGTCGACCACAGCATGCAGACAGGGCCTCACAGGCCACGAGGCGTGCATTTGCCCCAAGGGTGATAGGAAGTCACTGGAAACATTTTAAGCAGAGGAAGGGAATGTGGTTTATGTTTTAAGAAGATTACTTGGCTGCTGTTTGGAAAAAGGACTACAATGAGGCAAGGGTGGAAGAAATAAGAACAGTGAAAACACGAATACAGTAATCCAGGTGAGAGGGTGGTGGGCTCATCTGGAGAGGTAGCGAGAGAGGGGATAAGTTTTCAGATTCAGCACCTATTTTGGAGGGAGAGCCAATAAGACTGTCTGATGGAGTGGATCTAGGGGGTAAGATAAAGAAAGGAATTTAGGATAGTAAGCATAAGTTGTTTTCTTGTACAGACACACTTCGGAGATATTGCAGGTTCAGTTCCAGACCACCGCAATAAAGTGAGTCATACTCTTTTGCTGGTGGAGGGCCTTGCCTTCAATTTATAGAAATGTAACCTCTGTGGAGCGCAGTCAAGTGAGGCATAAGAAAACGAGGCATGCCTGTCCAGCCGTACTATTATCTGGGATAGGAAAGGCAGTAGAAGGCAGGGCTGGGGAGAAGTGCCCAGACTCTGGTTTGCTCACAATACTACATCCAGAGGGAGCCTGCAAAGGGGGACATGTGCACCTTGGGCCCGGGGCGGGGCGGCACTCAGGGTAGGTCTGGGAGTCCACAGCTTAGCTGGTACTGCTGCACTCACGGAGGCTGCAGGCGGGCCAGAGATTACCATGCAGAGAAGGGTCCTGGGCAGAGCTTACCTCTGACACAAACTTGGTCGTGGCGTCGCTTAAGGTTTTCAGCATCGGGGTTGCCTCAGCATAAAACAAGGACATTCGATTTGCCAATTCATTATTTACTTCATTTTCTCCTTCTGCCTGTGTAGAAAATAAGAGCCCTTGCTATCAGTTCATAAATTATTAAATAGAATCTCATTATAAAAGGACCTAGGCAGAGTAGAGTGCCTATCTCATTAATGTTTGCTAAATTAATCTAATAAATACCCTTAAATTATATTTTAGGCCATCAAGTGCATATAATACTTAAATATTCTTTAAAAAACGAAAGTTTAAAAATGCTGTCAAGCAATATTAAAAATATATTTTATATAATGTTAGGCAATTAAATAAAATGCTGACGGGCTGCCTTCTGTGTACAGGGGTTGCTCTAAGTGCATGGAGGACAGAAGATGACTATGACACGGCACGCTGCCTCCATCAGCACCACACAGGGTCCACAGTAACAGGCTGAGAGGTGATGATGGGAAAGCGGTGTGACAAAAAGAATAAGTGAGACAGGAAGAAACTCAAATGGACTCAAACAAGAGTTAGGCTTTTGATGGGCAGGCACACTGGTATGACAACCAACCAGGGGGGAACAGCACGTTTTCAAATGACTTGGAAGAATATAACTCGGTATTAATTTAATGTATTCCGTGTCATAAGCAGCAGCAACTAGCGAAAGGCAAGGCTGGAAAGGAAGGTCAGGGTCAGGCTGCAGCGGGCCTTCACCACTGACTTACGTCCTTCTGTGTGTGACGGGGAAACATGTCAAGTGCCAGAAGAGAGGAATGACAAGTCCATTTTCTAAAGAAAGTTAGCTGATGACAATGGGCAGATTGCACCAAAAAGAAAAAGACTGTAAGTCAGAAAATGAGTTCTACTACTACAGAATTAGTGCCAAAAAGAGTGAGAATGAGGCTTTCCGTTGGGATAGGAGTTATCAGCAGATGAAAGGAGGAAGAGATCTGAGAGGTATTTCACTTGACAATTGGATTTACCTATAATTACTGAGGGTGAGAGACAGTACAAAGATAACTTTAATGTCTTTGGCCTTGAGTGAGGACAGGATGGCTGTAATAGAGGATTGGGTGTTTTGCTTTTATTTTATTTTACATGGTAGGTATGAAAAAGACAGATGATAAGGTCAGCCTCATAGCAGGAACTGGTCTATGTAAAACCAAACTGACGCAAGTAACAGATGCTTCATGGGAAAGAAATCTTTTCTGCAACCCAGGGCCTGTCTTAGAGCAACTGCTTCATAAAATATGCAATGGGGAAAAAAATGGTTTCCTTTGGTATCTTCTTCACCTCTTATCCCACTCACCACTCTTTACATATTTCTATAGTATTTCTTTATTAAATTATCTACTAGAGGCTGGGGCCAATCCTACTAGAAATTCCTCTACTTTTCACACAACATAGGTCTTCAAAATACCCAGAGAGCAAGATAATTTATTTTCTTCAGATTTCAGGTTCTACTTAAGGCATTTGACTCCTCGGAGAGTGAAAAGGGTACTAAACCGCGTAAGATGAGTCACGAGGCTCCTAAGCCTAAAGAAACCAGCAGGGACGCTGTGCCGGCCACGAGACGGGCAGAGACGCCCTCTCCCTGCCAGTTCAGGCACAGAGGCGCTGAAAGTCCACAGCCTCGCTCCCCCCTCCTGCCAACATCAGCACTTCTCTTAGCCCAGGCCAGTTTTCCTCCAAGATTCTTCCATTCTAAGAATAAGGGGACAAAATGCTTATAACCACTAATTCACAAAATTATTGTGCCATTAAAATGAGAATACACAGAAAAATTTGATAAGTATCAATGTCATATACACAAAAACTAATTTTACAAAAACTGATTTTACTGAAGTAGTCATAGGCATGTAAGGGATAAAGTGGGGGCGGGAAAAGGGAAATACCATATGGTTTGCTACATTCTTTTCGCTTTCTTCCTATAGCTGTGGTTGCCCATGGTTACTAAATTAATTACTAGCTTTAACTATATCAGAATGAATGAGTGAATGAACAAATAAAAAATAAACTGAACAAACTGAGAGATGAGTTATTATTACCATCCCCTAATTCAAAGCATTAACTTACTGGAACATTATTAATCCTCATACGACTCAATGTTCTTCTATAATAGCTGAAATCATTCTGTATGGCAGGATTTGTCATCTAAAAAAGACATTTATAAAAGAAAAAGGTATTATGTACTAAATGACAGTATAAAAATTAAATGAAAAATCGATTAAGTACAGTTTTAACTATGTAAGTGACATTCCCAATTTGTAATGCCATTTTAATAACTAAAACTGGTACCATCCAAGATGGCTTTCTGCACTTACATGATGTAACACTGTATGTACTCAGTCTTCACTGAACACGTACAACAATACAGACTATTTTTTAGTCTCTGTTGGTATGCTTCCCTTCTTCTTTGCAGTAGTTTCAGGTAATATACTAAAAGACTGTTTGCCTAAAAACAGTATTACCAAATAAACAAAAACCAAGAAGGAATTTGTAGGTATTTGTTTTGGAATTACAATAAAAGTATGCCTATATGGTCCACAGGGCAATCTTCAAACAGACTGAAATTTTATATACAAATCATTCGTGCTCAAAATGTCATAAAAGAGAACAGCTGTCTATGAGGGCACTCAAACAATGCTGCAGTTAGGAGTCCAGCTCTTCCATTTTTCTAGACAAGGTACCTGAGGCCCTGAAAAGTCCAAGGCGCTAGGCCTATCTCCTGACTGGTTATTGTGATGGGGCCAGTCATGGGATGCAGGTCTCCTGATAGGAAACCAGTGCTTGTTTCTTTTACTCGCCCTCCTTCTAACAATAGGAGGCAGGTAGGTATAAAGGTAGGTAGGTAGATGGGAGGTGTGACGGAGGAAATATTTGAACATTTTTATATAAAAGGGAGTAGAAATAAACTGGGGATAAGCAGAAAAGGAAAAAATATCATAAAAGGTCAATCTTGATGTTCTAGAAATATTTTTTAAATGAAGTTCAATGAAGACTGAATATTGGGTGATTTGCTATTTGCTCTGCATGTATAAAAGACCTGTCGACATTTTTACATTCAGTTTTCCATACTTGCTCAGCACCATCAGGCAACATTCAAACACATTTTAACAAGGTCTTCAGGCATTTCCCCCGAGTGCTCCATAAAAACTCATGATTTTCACAGTCAGGGCCAGCAGAAAAATCCTACCTTGAGTTCATCAAACCGGAGTGTGAAATGAAGGATTTCTGCAAATTGTTTAGCAAGAGCCTGCTCTCGCTCGAGATGCTGGGTGGGAGAATACGGGGTACTTGTCAAGGCTCCCAGAAGCCCTCTTAATGCTGCTTCTAAAGGACAAAGATTAAAATTAAAATGTTAAGCTGTTTGTATCTTCTTGACATTTGTTTCTTAAAAAGTGAGCAATTTATAAATGTTACGATTTCAATTGTCATAAAAGTAAGATCTCTTTAAAATCTAAATACAATCATTCAAACTGAATACTGTTTAATAGAACAAAAACCTTAAAGGGACTAATTCAATTTTGTAATTCTATAAACCCAAATTCAAAATAATGCCACACGTAATCTGAATTAAACACCAGGATCAAAGGGCAAGTTTTATATTATTTTCACCATTCGACACAGCATTGAATTTTACGAAACCGTGATTGTTACCTACAGCTCAGTAACTACTTCAAGGGCACTACATCCACACAGTCAAATCTATACACGGCTATGACTGAATTACCAACTTCTCATACTCTGAATACGCTGTTTACTTATAAATTCAAACTGCTTTCTTTCAGCTACTAAAGGAAACAAAATATCTGATTTAATAATTAGCTTTCTGAGTTTCTTAAGTACTTGGCATCTCAAGACCATAATATAAATATCCTAATTCATTACCTAAGTAAAATGGTCCCTTTGAAATAAGTGCTACTTTTGGAATGCCCGACTAATAAATACTGTGTTTAAAAATGGAAATACTGATATTTCACTTCAAAAAAATCATAGAAATCAAACTATTCAGTTATAGATTATGGAATCAGAAAACAATGATAGATTCTATTAAAAAAAAACAAGAGCTTACAGAATCAGATGGTGATCTGACATTAATGAATAAGTGTCAGGTTAATCAACAAATATTTCTTAATGATAATGAATTTATGCAATTCATCAAAAACACCAGCTCTACTATTTCGGAAGACCTAATTAGGAGCCCACATTCATACTGTGTGCTTAACCTGGTCTCTCACTTAACTTTCACCATTAACTAGGACATGAGTGATACAGAGGGATAAACTGAGTTTCAAAGAGGTTCCATGCCAAGGGCACAGCTGGTAAATGCCACGTGTTTCTGACTTCGCAGCCCTATTCGTTCCACCATAATAAACTGTTTCTCAAATAAAGCAACATTCTACCTAGCCTCCTGCAATCTTATAAAATATTAATCTGCTGATGACTACCAGTAGTACATCTCATGTGTCTACTATGTGCCAGGTACTGAGCTATACACTTCATGACATTGTCATCCACACAGTAACTCCAAATTGTAATTATCCCTTTTTAATAGGAAGTCAAACCAACATAATGACTGTCTTCTCTGTACCAGGTGCAAGGGAAACAGAGGTGAAGGTAGACATGCTCCTATGCCCACATGGAGCCTGATTACCGAGAGAAGAAACAGAAATTACTACAATTGTGATGTGTGCGAAGAAGGACACAGTACGATGGGGAAAGGTATAAAACTAGGGCCTCACCTAGTTAAAGGCTCAGGAAAAGGCCCCCCTGAGAAAGTGACATCTGGGCTGAAACTGGAGTGTCCACTAAGGATGAGGAACAGTCTGGGAACAGACAGGGCAGGGAGCCAGCTCCTGAGCTGGGAAGACCGTGCCCAGGCAGACAAACTCAAGGAGAGCACACAGGTGGAAGAGAGCACGGGGGCAGTGTGATCCAAGACTGAAACAATACGCATGCAATGTGTGGCACAGTACGTGTCCTGGCCTTGTCACCCTAATATCACTGGACAAACTATTTAAGCAGGGAAGTGACACCATCAGATCGGCGTTTAAATACTCCACTTCATCGGCAGTGTGGAAAAGGGACCATAGCACACGGGCGGTTTACAGAGGAGCGAGCACGGATGTGAAGGTCAATGAAGAGGGAAACATTTTTTTTGGCTATTTTGAAAAATAGTTTATTTCTCCCAAGATTCATTTCATGTGCCAGTGTTAATATAAGTGGAAAGCTTGTGCTTCTGCCTCTCGCCATGTAGGATTCTGATGAGAAAGGGGTGGGATGGGGAAAAAAAATAAGTGGAAAGCAAAGTTTCAGAGATACGAGAACAGGAAGAAAAAAAAATAAAGCAATACACCAACACTGTTACAAGAGTGTTCCCCCAAAATTTGCATTTCCTAGCTTTTATCGGGTCCCTGGCTTAATTCCAGCATGCAAAGCACTCTACCACTTCGGGAGGTGGGAGATGCCCACGCCCTGGGGTGGAATCAGGTCACCTGGCTGAGTTGCGACTGTGTCCATGAACAGCTGAAGCCCTAAGTGTCAGACCTATCACAAAAGGGGTAGAAGCTCAAGGTGAGAAGCTGCGTATTTACCTGCCTTTAAAGCAGCTAGGTCAGCCTCTCGCCTTGGGGGCCGGTGCTGATAGAAACAGTCCTACTGGCCTACCACGCCCAGTGTCAAGGGAGGAATCAGACAGAGAATCCCAGGTGGTGGTCCAAGTCTCTGCCT